TACTTCTATTCAATATAGTTCTGGAAATATTAGCCAGAGCAATTAGAGAAGAGAGAGAAAGAAAAGGAATAAGAATAGGAAAGGAAGAAGTGGCATTATCATTATTTGCAGATGATGTGATATTCTACATAGAAGACCCCAAAAATTCCACCAAAAGGCTTTTAGATTTAATAACCAAATTCAGTAGTGTAGCTAGATACAAAGTCAACACTCAAAAATCGATAGCATTCCTGTACACAAACAGCAGAGAGAGAAACTGGGGAAACCACATCTTTCATAATAGCATCTAAAAAAATGAAATACTTAGAAATCAATCTAACAGAGGAAGTAACATATCTATACAGTGAAAATTATAATACTCTGAAAAAAGAGATTGAAGAGGATTTCAGAAAATGGTAACATATCCCTTGCTCATGGATAGGAAGAACCAACATTGTCAAAATGGCCATACTCCTAAAATTATTGCACAGATTCAATGCAATCACAATTAAAATACCATTAGTATATCTCACAGATCTAGAGAAAACATTCATGAAATTCATCTGGAACTGGAAGAGGCCTAGGATAGCAAAAGCAATCCTGGGCAAGAAAAGCAAGGCTGGAGGCATCACAATCCCCAACTTGATATTTACTACAAAGCTACTATGATAGAATAAGCATGGTACTGGCAAAAAAACAGACCTGAGGATCAATGGAACAGATTAGAAGATGCAGACACAACTACAAACACACTCAGCCACCTTATCTTTGACAAAGGGGCCAAACATGTTCACTAGAAGAAAGATAGCCTCTTTAATCCTTGATGCTGGGAAAACTGGTTTTCCACATGCTGAAGACTAAAAGTAGACCCATGTCTATCACCATGCATTAAACTAAAGTCAAAATGGATCAACTATCTAAATATTAAAACAGAAACACTGAATCTACTGAAGGAGAAAGTAGGTAGAAATCTTGAAGACATAGGGGTAGGCAGAGAGTTCATGAACAAAAACCAAACTGCATGGGAAATATTTCAAAGAATCAATAATTGGGACCTTATCTTATTGAAAAGTTTTTGCACATCAAAAGAAATCATCAACAGGGTGAAAAGAAAACATATGAGTTGGGAAAAAATTTCAGCCTACTGCCCCTCAGACAAAGGCCTTCTATATAGGACATATAAAGTATTAAAAAAAAATCAGGCCCCCAAATTCAAAGATCCAATCCAAAAATGGGCATCTGAGATGAATACACACTTCTCAGATGAAGCAATACTCATGGCAAATAAAGATATGAAAAAATGTTCAACATCATTGGTCATTCAAGAAATGCAAATTAAAACAACACTGATATTCCATGTCACCCCAGAAAGAATGGCTATCATCAAGAAATCAACCAATAACAAATGCTGGTGAGGCTATGAGGAAAAGGAACACTTCTCCACTGCTGGTGGGAGTGTAGATTGGTGAAACCACTGTGGAAATCAGTGTGGAGATTCCTCACAAAACTAGGGTTAGAAGCCCCATTTAACCCAGCTATTCCCCTTCCGGGTATTTTCGCAGAAGAATTAAAAACATCATACCACAGCAATATAAGTGCACCTATGTTTATAGCAGCACAGTTTATCTTAGCTAAATCTTGGAAACAACCCAAATGCCCATCAACTGAGGAATGCATAAAAAAGATGTGGTATTTTTATACATTGGAGTATTACTCAGATATAAAAAAATAAACTTGAGGATTTTATAGGTAAATGGATGCAACTAGGGACTATATGCATAAGTGAAATAAATCAGACCCATCTGTGTAAACATTGTCTCCCTAATGTAGGAACATGAAAGAGTAAATAAAACCCAAAACGTGCAATAGATATTATGAAAGGGAAAGCAATTGCTCTAAAGAACAACAACTGGAATGAGGGAAAAGAGAAAAAGAAAGAAGGAGGGAAAAAAATATATATATACAGAAGGATAGCTGAGATAACTGTGCTGCTGATGTCTAATGGTTTATTGAAAGGAACAGTTAATGCTTTTTTTTTTTTTTTACCAATTTTGCATGTTTATATCTGAACAACTAATTTAGACAAAAATATGCACTAAAACAACCATTGTTGAATTCCTATCATATTGTTTAGTGAAACTCTGTATCATTTATAATTTTTTGTTTTTATTTTTTATTCTCATTAATGGTTTGGCCAATATTACATTCTTATATCTGCTAATCTGAGCAACTTCATTGAAGATAAAGATATGTAATATAACAACCACTGTTAATTCCTATCATTTTGTTCTGAAACCCTGTATCATTTTTATTGTTTTTGTTTTGTTTTATTTTTCTCTGTTGTTGGTATTTTGCTATTGTTCTTTTTTTTATTTTCTTTAAAATAAAAACAAAGAGTGGCTAAGTAGTCAGAATGAGTTGGCACTCTTGATTTATAGATTTTTGAGATTAGTTACATTTGGAACACTTGCAGTGGTCAGTAGCCAGAGGAATCCCATTTAAAGATTGGAAGTGTTTAAGCACAAGTTGGAGAAAATAGAATCAATTTTGTTATTAGTCTCTACATTCCCCAAATGTAATGAAAACAACAAATAAAAAAAATTAAAGATCCTCAACTGACATTCAATCATTTGAAAAGGTCATTGTGTTTATAATATAAATACCATAGAAATCATTAAGGAAATACACGTTTAAAATTTATTTCTTAAGCAAACTAGCAAACCATATTTCCCTTGGAGGTAGCCATTTTTTAGGAAAAGACTGAATTGAGCTTGGTCTGAGCAGACATGAATTTTGACATTAAAAATAACAGCCACCCTTTCTGAGTCCCTGTTCTATGTCAAGTAATGATCTACAAAGCTGTATGCAAGTTGCCTGACCTCTGCTTTTCTTTACCTCAAGGGACATGGGGGCTCTGAATCCGGGTTCTGGGAGAAGAAAGAATCAACTCCCATCCCCACTCCATGATGGCTGCCAAGCTGAGTTGTTCATTTCCTACAAGAAATCAATGTATATACGTGAAGCCCAATGAGGCTTTAGGTGTGAATCCCCACAACTGAGAAACGAAGGAGAGAGAAGTTTGGGTGGGATGGAACAGTAGTGGAGGGGCAGGACTGGCTTGGAGATGTTGTATTTACCATTGTAGAATGGCCTCTCATCCAGCGCTCCAGTGCAAGAATCCCTGGGCTTCAGCCCATGACCTCCTGAGCCCACAGGAAGCAGAGGCCCTGGGCCAGGGCTCTAGCTGGAGCCTTCATTGCTGCTGCACTAGCCACAATGTGGAGAATGTGGACTACCCTGGCAGAGTATTGGTCCTTCCACACCTCCACTTCATTATCTGCAGCAGCGATGGTGCCATGTGGTATTTTCCAGTCTTCTCAGTAGGTCATACTTTGACACAGTTGAGCCTACATCAATGGGGTCCGAGTTCCCCTCAATACATCCTTACCATTTTCCCAGTGCAAAGGGCTCCTTTTTAATCGTACTACTCTCAAAACCTCCTTGACCACAACTTCAAGTGCACTCCTTTTCTGGTGATAATGCAACTTTTAAAAATGCCTTTCTTTGCTTTTATACCCCCAATGCTCATTGTAAATTTGGCTAAATGCATTCAGTAATACCCATGCTGCAATGTGAATGCTGTGCTGTCTAGAAAGTTCTTCCTCCAGATAAACTAGTCCATCATCTGTAAATTTTGCCTCACACCAAGTCTCAGGGCCTAGGCAGAATGTAGACAAATTCTTTGCCAAAGTGTAGCATGAATGGCCTCTAATTCAATGCCCAATAGAGTCCTTATTACCAAATTTTATGATCCCAGCTGCCTGAACCTTCCCCAGAATGGCCCATTAATCTCTACTTATCGTGTTCTAGGCTTTCTTTAGTTGGCTTCTCCAGATATTCCAAATTCTCACAAGCATATTCAAAGCGTATTCTCACAACTTTGGAACCACAGTAAGGCAAAGTCAGAGCAATAGCCCCTTGTGTTAGCTTTTTGTTTCCTGAGAAATACCTGAGAAAATAAATTTAGAAGGAAGCAACTTTATTTTTGCTTCACAGTTTCAGAAGCTTCAGTCCATGGCCACTCTGGGTCTGTGGCAGCACAGTAAGTCATGGTAGGCGAGCAAGGCCTAGAAGATCTGTTCACCTTATGGCAGCCAGAGGCAAACAGGCAGGAAAGGGCCAGGGCTCTAATATCCCCTTCAAATGCACTCCCCCTGTGACTTAGCTTCCTTTCACAAGACCTCATCTCTTAAAGTCTATTCCACTTACCAATGGTGCCACAGGCTGGGGACTAAGCTTTTGGGATATGTGGCCTTTAGGGGACATTTCAGATTTATTTTTAAGGGTCTTGCTAAGTTTCCCAGGCTGGGCTTGAACTTATGATCCTCCTGCCTCAGCCTCCCAGAGTGCTGTAATTGTGTACCACAACACCTGGCTAGGCATCCAAATTTAATGAATTCAGTAGTCAGAAAAATTATTTTGCCTTATCACTTTACCTTTAAATATTATTAAATGATGCCCATGAACCTGATATCATGCACATCTTCTGACATCCTCTTATGAGCTGTATAAATTTAAATCACTGCATTTCATTAAGTTTAACTGGCAGTGCTTTAGATTTAAGTTAACGGCACATAAAAGACATGCCATACATTAAATAATCTTATCCATCTAATATTGTGACACTAAAATGTTTTCTCCTTTCTCTTACCAAACATTAATTCTTGAAGCCTCAAGCTCTATTATAGGTTCATGCTTCTTTGCAATGTAATTTTGTAAGTTCTTTTTCTCATTGGGCTATCACTCACAGCCATGGTAAAGGTAGTGCTGGCATATGGAATCAGACTAAAACACTGAATCTCAGCTTTATGTGATGAAGATCAAGGTAACTATTAGTGATTGTACTTGCTTTTTTTAAGAGCCTGGAAATGAATTCAAACAACTACAAACTGGGATTAATATTTTATTCCCAAACACAAACCACAACTGAGAAATGTGCCACTAGCTAGATTTCCACAGAAATGCACAAATACCGAGACATAGGTGCATGACTTTGAAGCCATATACAGCACAAAACTCAGGGATGACTTTGAAATTCTACTTTGTCAATTAATAGAAATGCGTGAAAAGACCACATCTAAGAAACAATCCCTTTTCAAAGGATTTGAACAGCTGTCTTTCTGTAGTAAACTGGCTCTGAAAGAAGTTTTCTGGATCTTCATTGAAATCAAAAGGCTTGTGACTAATCCTTCCAGAGTAATTCTTCTGCCACAATTTCATAACAATCATAAGCTTTTATGAGAAGCTATGATTACACAGAGAACCATATATGAGGAACCTTCCATTCAGAACCTATGCTCTCAAAGACACGAATTACTAACACATAAACTTAATTGGCATCTACAGAAGGAATGACACATCACTGGGCTTTCTTTCTTTTACCCAGTCCATATTAAAAGCTATTTTTTTGCCCAAAAAACCTTCAAAAATAAAACTGCTTTCTTTTAATTCTCTATAACAGGAAGAAGAACAGACATGAAACATAATAGGAAGGCGTAATGCTCCAAAAATATTGCAGGATCGGATGACACCAAAACCTTCACCAAACTTGGGACCATGACACCAGTCACACCTGGATGTGCTGAAATAGAGGAAACATCAAGTCAATATTTAATAGTTTTTACTACAGTCAGAAAATTGTTATTGATGCTCTGCAAGACTCAGAGTTGTATGACAGTGAATACATATATGTATATATATATATATATATAATCACAAACCCAATTTTCTCAAACAAAAGGAGTATGAAAATGCTCATGTCCATAGCGTAGTGTTTGTTTTTCCTGGGAGAGAGGTTGCTGTGGGACTATTTAGTCCTTGTTTTGGTTTCATATTTAACTCAATAAACTCAGGTTCAGGTTCCTTGCCTTGTGGTGAACTCTCCTGATGCCATATATACATTTTGTTGTTTTAGTTTTGTACCAGGAATTGAACTCAGCTCCTTGCGCTTGCCAGGCAGGAGCTGTGCTGCTGAGCTATCTCCCCAGCCCTGACTGGCATTTTTTTCCCCATATATACTTACCACTCACTAGTTAGGTTTTAATTCTGTAGAAACAAGTCTTGGCCCCAGGGATTATTACTGCTGTTATTATCTTACTTTCTTGTGTGCAATCAAATTTTCTGAGCATTGATGTCTCCATATGTGAATATCAAAAATTTCTGGGCCTGGTTCCCTCTCTATCAGTAGATCTCTAGTTACTGTTTTCAGTTTCTCCAGTGGTTGCTATTTTGAGTTGTCTGCTGGGTTAGTCACCTTTCTATCACTAAAACAAAGTACTTGATAATGAATTCATGAAGAAAACTTTTATTTTGGCTCACAGTTTAGGAGATTCCATTTCACTGTTGACTGGCAACATTGTCTGGGGCCTGTGGTGAGGCAGCACATGATGGTAGGAGCAGTGGCAGAATAAAATCATGTCATGGGAAGGAAGCAAAACAGAAAGAGGAAGGGGCTGAGTCCCAGGATTCCCTTCAGAAGCACATGCCCAGTGACCTGTGCGTCTCTCACTAAGCCTACCTCCTAAGGGCTCCACCACCTCCCAGTCGCACCACCCCAGTGAACGCAGAGGCCCCTGGGGACACTCACCATCCAAACAATAGCATCTGTTTTTTATTCAGTCAGTGTTGGTAATTTATACATTCCTGGAAAACCATTTACTTAGGAATATTCATTAAATCAATAGTCCTACCACTAATACAGTAGATAATACAGTAAATGCTGCTGCTGAATGTCGTCCAATGAAAAGGCAGGCTCATAAAAGGCATTGCTATGTGTTCCCATCCACTTTATTCACCAGATCTGGTACCATGATGGATGTTTAAATAAAAATCACTCGTTCATATCATATAAAGGAAATAAGAGACATATCTGAGTGGACTGAGAGTGAGTGAAGTTTAGGAACCCTAGTCCTGAGTGTAGGCAATGATTTTAAAATTCATCATTGATACTTGAGGAAAGGAAGTTACTCCTGTGTGACTGCTCTATTACTGGTCTCTATCAAGTTAGAATGGAGTAAAACATGTCTCCTGGGACTAACAATTTCTTTTAAAGAAACAACTTCTATGTACTTGAGAGTTCATAGAAAATAGTTATGCAATCCAGTGAATGTTTACATTTTAAAATTTATTACAGTAAAAGACACATTGCTATCACATACTCCCCAAATACTCCTTCTCACTTGAAACACTTATCCCATTGTTCTTTCCACTTTCAGAAGCACTCTGGAAGTCCTCTTCTGAGTCTTTAGTTGTGCTGTTGTGGCTGCCTTGCTGTCCTGAATTGAGCCAAACCATTTAACTTTCATTCACATTTTGATTTTAGGAAAGAGGTAGGAACTGCATGGTACCAGATCTGGTGAATAAAGTGGATGGGAACACATAGCAATGCTTTTTATGAGCCTGCCTTTTCATTGGACGACATTCAGCAGCAGCATTTACTGTATTTTTATTGTACCTCATAAAGAATTGAAAGAAGACTTCAAGGCTGCTTTAAAAAGTTACAATAACAATGGCACAAATATGCTTGTAGCAAATGGAGTATTTTGAGGGGAATTAATGAGAAAGTATCTTTTAGTATAAATAATTTTTTAAAAATGTGAGCATTCACTGTACATTTTGATCACAACTCATACTTCCAACTATACCTCAGCAAAACTACCGTTCACTTTAGAGTTAAGTAATAACTTGAGAATATTAGGAAATGGACTGAATTCAAGTATATTATTATACTTGAAAAGCTAGAAGGGGAAATTTGAAGAATCATGTATATATGGTTTTGTGTGTAGTATGGTATGCAGGTGTGTTACTAAACTGCCATCTGGCCCTACAATAAAGAAAATTAATGTATTTAGAAGTGCCATTTCAGTTGAACACCGAAGCACATGCTTATATAATCTCAGCTACTTGGGAGGCAGAGGCAGAGCATTGCAAGTTTAAGGCCAGCCTGAGCAATTTAGTGAAACTCTGTTTCAAATAAAATTGAAAAGTGTGGGGATGTAGTTCACTGTATGAGGCCCTGAATTTAAATCCTCAGTACTGCTAAAAAAAACAAAAGAAGAAAGAAGGAAAGGAAGGAAGGAAGGAAGGAAGGAAGGAAGGAAAGAAGGAAGGAAGGAAGAAGAGAGGAAGGATGGAGGGAACAAAGAGAGGGAGGGAGGGAGAAAGGGGAAGGAGAAAAAGGTGTACTTTGGCTAAAAACACTATGTAATGTACTCACCGTTTTAGTAACTTTTGAATTTTCACTGGTATATCATAAGATGTATGTAGATTATTTTTGACAATGAACAAAGAGGTAATTTGAGTAAGTCTTGGGGGACTGTTCAAAGAATTCTCTGTCCAAAATCTATGATCAGTAAAAGTATTCTCAAAGGAGACTTTTGTCAGGTTAAGCTTCAAAATTCCAGGTGGCAAGTGAAATAAATAATTTCCATCAATATTCAGTTTTTCAAGTGATCTATAAAATAAAGAAAACTGCACTATAAAATGTAGTCATGCAATTTATAATACTAAACTAAAGTTTTGGCCTAATGTTCTTGAAAGTTTGCATCAAACTTAATAGCGATAAAACATATCTATTCTTAATATTTCCTCAGCTTCGAGTGTTTACTAAAACCAACTGAACCAATGTATTATGATGTGCATTTGTGTGAATAGCATAGTAAAGTGCATTTGTGCAAATAGCATAATAAAAAGCATGTGTTTGGGGGTCTTTGTAACATATCATCACCATGGAAAAAGAAATATCCACAAACCTAGAAAGATTAATAAATATTACATAACTGTAATAAATGATACACAGAAAAAATTAATAGAAAATTTGACCATCAACATTTTATTCAAGTCTAATAAAAACAGTGAAATTTATGTTATCAAAATATATCATGTGCTATGTTACACTGACTTTTCCACATCGGAACCCTACTAGCTTTCACTTGGTCAGTTTCTTCTAATGGCCCTTGGTTCTTTGTTCAAAAGAGAGCCAACAGGTTGGTTTTTTCATGTTTTACTTCTCTAAGTAGTGTTTCCTACAACCACTTATCTTCTTTCTAATTAGTGTTGGAAGCAAAAAGAACAGTATCTGTTCATGAGGTGCATATAAAAATCAAATCCAGGGTGGGTACAACTTGTCAAATGCGTTAGAGGTGAACAGGTTAATATGTGGGCTTCAGGTAGTAAGGAGCTGGCGGCCTCTGGATTCCACTGACAGTCTTATCTCACATCTCCTGCTCACCCCAGTGAAGTTCTTCAACTGTAAGTCTTGCTGACAACATTAAAATATGATCTACATGGGTATTTAAAACAAGGAGACTGGGAAGATGGCTATCCAAATTCTTCGATCTCAGTTTGCCTGTTGTACATGTCATGGTCTGGTAAATGTGAGCAAGGCACCAGCCTGTTATGGTCCTGAAGGAGAGAGCTGGCATGGCTATTTTTCCCTCTGTACCAGATTTAAGGTCAGGAGTCAGTAGCAGACAGGCCTGCGGTGGTCTGAATGTTTATTTCACCCAAAATTCCTGTCTTGAAATCTCCACTTCAAGGTTATGGCATTTGGAGGTGAGTTTTTAGGAGGTGATTAGGTCAGGGCAGAGCCCTCATAAACAGAATTAGCACTGTTATGAAAGAGGCTTTAGTGAGACCCTCCACCTCCTTCATCACATGAACTGAAAATGAGAAGACAGCTGTCTACAAAGAAGTGAGTCCCTACCAGACATACAGACAATCTGTATGTGACTCAGTTTTGGGCTTTCCAGACTTCAGAATCATGAGAAATGAATTTCTTTTATTCACTAGGTCCTTGCCAATGAAATGCTGTTACAGCAGTCTGAGGTGACCAGGACGAGTCCCAGTAGACAATCAGACTGAATGTGATTGAGGGCCTTCTAGGGCAATGCTGATGAACTTTCCCACAACACCCATGAGGAGGTGTTGGAGACCGGCTGTGTAAGGGTTAAGATGGTGACCTAAGCCTCAGTCCTAAGGCCTGTGTTGTCTTCTTTGGGAATGGAAAATTATGTAGAAAGCTATGTTTTCTGGTTGCGTGGGGGGAAATCTCATAAGCACGGTGCTCTGAGGACAATATCCACTGAGGACAAAAAAAAAAGAATGCTACCTCCCTGTTAACCTGATCCAGTTAAGGAGAAGGGCTTGTCCTTTCACCCTTACCTCTTTTGAAGTTTCACCTGTTCCTTATTTTTCAAAATCTGCTTCAACTGTGTCAAGAATGACGCAGGACCCCATCCTCTGAGCTTCTTGCTGACTGATAAAAATGAGTTGATTGTGGAGGTTGGTGAGCTGGTTCATTAGAAGCAAGTCTCCTCCAGGTCCCCCTTGCATCTTAAATTTTGTCTTTGTCTTTCTTTGCTCCTCGTCAACCCTTCGGCAGGTATCCGAGGGTCTGATCGGACCCTGGCAAGGGAAGCTCCCCTGCCTGAGTTGGTTTATCTTGGAGAACAGAGTAATTTAGGTGCCCCCTCTTCTTCAATAAGTTTGAAGAAGGTAGGCAGGCTCAATAATCCTCAAAACTGGAAGAGCTCCATGTTTAGACAGGCTTTGCAGCTTGAACACTCTAGGGGGGCTGAGAATCTTCCTCCTGTGCACTACTGACTGGTACTGCGGTGCTCAGAGTGGTATTCTGTGACTGTCAACTGGCCCACACAGAAGGCAGAGCGGCAAGAAGAGGAAAACTCAACACGCAGAACTATGGTCCCAAGTAAGCATGCTCTGTGAGAGACAGATAGGAAGTTAGGTAAGGTTGGAAGAAACACTAGGTCAGATTCAAACGCAGACCAGATGCATGCCTACACAGATGCTCAAAACTTTCCTGAGTACAAAATGATGTTTGTGAAAGTAAAATTTAAGTAGCAGGACAGAAGAAGAACATAGTCTTCATGGGAATACAAATAAGAAGCAAGGTAGAGGAAATAGCTCAAAACTGCAGCGACTTTTTAGAGATAGAAAGGAGATGTGGGAGGCCGGGGATATAGCTCAGTGGCAAAAGCGCCTGCCTGGAAAGCACAAGGTCCTGAGTCTGATTCCCATTACAAAAAATAAAAAAGAAAGGAGATGTGGGAACAGCAAGGAAGGGAGGGGAAAGGAAAGAAAGTGAGCGTGCTATGTGTCTATACCACTTCCTCAGGGTGAATATGATCGTTATGTATCACAAATAGATGCTAATAAAGAGAAACTAAAAAGTTTAACAGAAAAAATGGTCAAAATATAAGGAAAATCATGAAGGAAAATAGGGTTGCCATGGATTACAGTTCAGGAAACTTAACATAAATGATAGACATTTTGGAAGAGAAAATGAAACAGGTGGAGAGGCATAATTAAACATATGTCCCTAACTTAAAAAAAAGTTTGAGATGGTAGATTAAGAGTTCACTGAATTCCAAAAAGGAAGTGTTAAAGAAGAAAAGAAAAAGATAAATGTGATCTGATAAAGTTCCCGGAAGATCGAACAAAGATCTTGAGAGAATCTTCAATCTTTCCAGATGAAAATAAGAGTCGCTCACAAAGAAAAAACTAGGACTGGCATCAAGTTACCTGCCTACCACACGGAATGTGCTGACGGAACCTGCATAGGAAAGGGATTCAAGGCAAGATTGTCCACCCAGCCCATTCATCATTGGTTGGCTGTACTGAAGGATTCAGATTCCATCTGAGGAAAAGACTTAAGGAAAGCTCCAAGCAGCCACAGAATCAAAAGCAGACCTCTCCATGTTCAAGATAAGATGAAAGAGGAGAGGGAAAAAGCAGTAAGCGATGGACTGTGAAACACATGCATTAAAATATAAATCAAAAATGATTTGACAGTTAAATGCGAAGTATCCTTTGATGAGACAGGATGCAAGGGAAAATCTACTGAGAATCTGTAGCATAAATTTTTAAATCATCTCAAGAAAATCTAGAGTTAGGTAAGGTGCAGGAGGGTTTGGAGAGAAAGCAAGAAAATAAAAGTATCTTAAATCTTAAGTATTGATGAAAGTATGGGGAAGCAGACAATTCTAAGGGACTTGTATAAAATATTAAAGAAAACTATGTTTGATTGTGAGTTTAGAAAAGGACAATAAAGCCCCAAAACTAACATAGGAGGAAATGAGAAGAAAGAGGAGAAGAGGCAGCAGGAAAAAGAAAAAGTAAATCAATAGTAAATACAAAGCACAATGGAAGGGGAGAGTCAAATGATCCATCATAACTATGTGAATATGCTGAATTCTCCTCTTAAAACACAAAAATTGTCACATGGGAAATTAAGTAATTGGTATAAATATAAAAGCAAAACCAAAAATACCTCATTCTGCTGAAGGTAAGCTGTGTCCCTAGAAACTCAAAAGAAATCAATCAGATCAACCAGAAAACTCAGTCAGGACTATTAAGAGAATTTGGCAACATGGCTTGATTTTAAATTAATATAAAGAAGGACATTTAAAAAAAAAGACCTAGCTGCCTGGCATGGTGGCACACACATGCTCGTGGTCGGAGTGTGCTGGAGACTGAGGCAGGAGCATTGCAACTTTAAGTTCAGCCTGGACAACTTAGTGACTTAGCAAATTCCTGTCTCAAATATTTAAAAAAAAAAAAAAATTTAAAAAGGCCTGCAGCGGCGGAGCGGGAAGGGCAGGTCAACTTGAAGGCCTTGGTTTCAATTCCCAGTACCACAAAATAGTACATAGTTTTCCCTATACTGGCAATATTTAGCTGAAAATGGAAATAAAAACATGTTCGTAGTAGCAGTACAATTATAAAATATATAGAAAAGTTTATTAAGGTATGAAATGGGTCATAAATGCTTATGAAGAACACAAAATCTGAAAAAATTAAAAATATATATTATGTTTAGAATTAAAAATTGTATTATTATCAAACATAAAATTCTTCAAAACTTTTGTGTAAACTCAAGACAACTGCAAGTAAAATGCCAAAGTTGTGTTTATGTGTATTGAAGGAGAGCTGGGAATTATATACATGATCTTAAGGATTAAAATCTTAAGAGAATAGTCAGGAGATTATTACTGAAAAATAACCTCACTTTAGTTATTAAAATTATTCTAAAGTTATAATCAACATAATATGGTACTAACCTAGAAGAACACAGGTGAACTTCAGCTTTTTAAAAATTTACTTAATTAATATAATTTTAGCATTAAAATTACAATGTATATTATGAATATTTTATACATATATATATATCCTTACTAAAAAATAAATGAAAAAGATAAGAGCCATAGGGACCCATGCAGAAAAATAAACAAAAATATCTTGTCATTTTATTAAATCATCACAGTATCATTCTTCAAATAATTATTGAAAATATAGCTTTAAAATACTGTACACCAAACTACATGTAAACTACATTTTTGATAAGTTTCATACTTTTCACATTACATTTTATGGCAGGCAATTAAAGAACTTAATATTCTCTGTCATAATCATTACCAATTATTCTTATGACTTTCTATGTATTTGCTACCTCCATAATACCTGAGTCTCTGGATGTCGTTTGGAATAGAAGTGATTTCGTTGTAGGAAATATCAAGGTCCTCAAGATGGGACAGGGAAAATAACCTTAAAGATAAAGAGAAAATTAACTATAAAACAGATTATATTTTTTTAATCAGTAGAATAAAGAAAGAATTAGAGACTTAGGGAAACAGGGAATAGTACAAAAGTGTGCTTTTTCTCAGGATATTCATATTAAATACATTCATATTAAATAAACAATAGTTTTTCTAAACATGAATAATGAACCAGTTGAGAAAAAAGTCAAGAAAACAGTTCCATTCACAATAGCTTTTAAAAAAGGACAAAAATACCTAGAAATCAACCTAATAAAGAGATGAGAGATCTCTACAAAAATAAGCACAGAGACCAATGGAGCAGAATATAGGACACAGAAACAAACCCACAGAACTACAGCCATCTGATTCTTGACAAAGGAGTAGAAACAAACCTTGGAAGAAAGATAGCTTCCTTAACAAAGGATGCTGGGAAAACTGGATATCCATATCCAGAAGATTGAAACCAGGTTCCTATTTCTCACACTGCACAAAATTCAACTCAAAGCGGATCAAAGACCTTGTATGTATAAGATCTGAAACTCTGAAACCGCTAGTGCTCGTTCCCAACTTATCATGTCTGGAGAAAAAACATTGGTACCATTTGTTCTATTTTTCAAGTCAAAATCATGATGTTTATAGTCTAGCCTCAGGTGGATCCTAGAATCATCTTGTTTTTCCTCATCACTTCAGTGCTGGTAAACTAGCCTGGCTCCAGCCTTTCACTATGGATTATGTATTTTCCTTACTTTGAAGTGGAATGGGTCTGTGGGCTACATGGAGGAGCTAGGACACTGCATCAGGCCTAGAGTTGAAATTTACCTCATATAATATATACTCTTAGGGAGCACATGTATCCAGATAGCCTGTTTGGCCTGGAGCTCCATACCCTACCAAAGCTATCATATTTTAATAAGAATGGGCAGAGGTTTTCACCCTTATTTCAGTTTTATTTGTTAGCGTATTCTTGGGCAATAGCTGCTTACACTTCTACAGAATATTGCTGATAGCTTGGAAGAACAAGCTGGTGTTAACAATACAAGTATTACAGTGACGAACACCATAGCAATTTAAGTAGCATACAGTAGTAGCATACTAAATGGTCATAGCAACTTAAAGTGATGTTTCGCCTTATCACTGCAAGATTGCTACTATTATTGTATGAATTTAAAAGAGTGGAAGCTATAAGAAAGTAACTTATCTGTTATTATGAAATTAAATATAGCTATCTTTTTCTTCAGCTATATGGAGACAGAGAAATTTACTCTCTCCATTTACTCAATAACAATATGGGAAAATAAATATTAGCCATTTCAGAACGGGCCCTGGATGTAGCCTCTCAAGTAGGTTGCTTGAGTCTTTGTTCTAAACATCTTTTCTTTCCCAAAGAAACTTCCTGCCAATTACAGCACACTGAATCAGACAAGTAAGGCAAAATTTGATTGCATTAGTAAAAGTAGAAATTTTCTAAGTCATTTTTCTCCTACTATCCACTGTGGAAAAGACAAGGACATCCTTTTCGACAGTTGTTTATAACCTTAGGGCTTGTGCCTAAAAAATTATTGTAGCTACTCCTCTTTATTCACTTATGGGGCAAAGATATCTCTCAATTGTGTATATTTCCTTTCTTTCCCCTCTTTTCTCTTTCTCTCTTTTTCTTGTCTTTTCTATTCAAAAGCTTGGAGAAAAGAAAAAATTCTTTCAGATTTCTGAAACAATTCATTATATTTATTTTGAAAGAGGTTTTAAACGGTAATTCAAATAACTCTTCATGGTTATAAAACTATACATATTACATGGGAATTTGATTACACATTGTTAATCTGTAATGGGATGACAACCCCACTTCTTGCTTCAAAATATGAGCTTCCCTCCTACCACATTGCCTCATATCGAATGCCTCAAGCAGGTCAAAGCAAAATATTAGGAACAAGCAATGGTATGGTGGTGCATGCCTGCAATACCAGCATTTGGGAGGCTGAGGCAGGAGGGTTGCCATGAGTTCAAGGCCAGCCTGAACTACATAGCAAGATCTTGTCTCAAGAAAAAAAAAAAAAAAAGGAATAAAAATTTAGGCCTTGGTGAATTTGTGCTACAACCAGGTAAATTTTCCTTATTAACTCTCAATTTGGCCTACCCAGAAGTGATTAGCTATTACACAATTTCAAATATACTGGATGCTTTATTTTGTTTCAGAAATTTAGGTCAAGGGAAAAATCTGTAGAAATAACTGAAAGAATTTTTTAAAAATAATGCAAGATTTTCTTATTTGTTTTTTGTAGTGTTCTTGAAAACCAGCCCAATTTTTCTAATTTTCAGATAGAAACAGAAGTTAAGAGTGGGCCAGAAGCTTGCCAAAACTTACAGCACCTAAGGTACAGAGCTTTGTATCTGAAAGTACCTTGCATTTCTCACTATGTCACCTTTGAGTTCTGTGGAACTAGAAAGATCCCATTGGGAATAGAAAAAATAATAATGAAAGGACTCTATCATGGTGCTAGAAAAACTTTGAGAAGTCAACATATTTGAGAATAATATATGTACTTCTTAACATATGGAAATCATAAAGAATTTAGAAAAATAATGAGAACCATAGGAAAAGACAATTTTTAAAAATATAAACTTAGTCACTACAATAAGCAATCATTTTGTGATAAATCTAGAAAAAGTATATATCTTAATTTAAATCTTACACTATGGTTTCAAACAAGTTGGGTAACAATTATTTTATTTAATAAAATAGCGCTAAATGTCACTTGAACTGCTAGATTTATACCGCTAACCCCCACACTTTGTTCAAATGTCCCTTTTAAAATAAGTTCCTTCCCAATACATTATACCTGGTGAAGTCGTTCGTGTTTGAGTTCACGACCTCAGTCGTGATTTTACCTTAAAATGTAACGATTGTTCGAGGAAACCTTCGCAATTTTTCGGAAACCACAAGTATCCTCCATAATTTTTGGGGGAGGGCGGGAGGTTTGCCAAGTAGCCGATCCAAGAGCATTATTCAGTTCTCCTTGCTGCTGATTGGCTGCCGCCCTGTAGCCCATCTCTGCCAGATGCACCAGCATTCCTGAATCATAACAGGTTGCTGTACCACACGTAACTATCTCCAGTGTTCTCGGTATTTTCTGACTATATCTGAAATTTGCAGTTTTTCACAATTTGCAGGTGCTCTAGGAACATAACCCCTGTTTCCATTTTCATTCATTCCCTTATTCTAGATTTTCCCCTTTTATGTTTCTTATTACCACCTAAGATAGTATAGAATTGCCTTTCAATGTGCGTTACACATACTTTTAAGTTGACTATCTCCCTCTATGAGAATGTGATCCTCACAAGAGTTAAAATATTTGACTGGTTTTGTATTAGTTTTCTGTTGCTGCCATACAAATTTCAACACAAACACAATGCATCAAAGTAACAGGGGTTCCTGTGTGATAGTCATGCCCTAGGGTCATTCCTCCTTTGTCTGAAAAGAGGGAGAAAATAACAGAACAAAACACCAGCAAATCTTTGAAGCTCTAGGTGAGAGCACGTACCCACATCTCCAAGCCCGACCTTCAGTCTGCTTTAACCTACTTGACTCTTAGTAAGGGTTCATAAATACGCACTACATCTCACACCTGTGATTAAGAAAGCCCCTGAGATGACTCTGCACCCTGTCAATCATTCCTGTCAATCTTACTTGGGAGGCCCCCTACCGGGGGTGCAAATCCTTTAAATTTTCAAAAGCCTGGTTGCGCGAGCAGTGCTTTTTACTTTCCTGCCATCCCAGCACCATGTTTTCATTTGTGCTATATTTTTGACAGCATTGACTTGTTCTGAGGACATCTTCCTGTGATTCTCGATACACGCAGCTGCTTTTCACTTGTCATTGGGTATATGCTTTGCACTTCTTTGCCTCTTGTGTACAAGAGCCTCGAGTCAATCTGCTGGATCCACTGTGCGGTAACAGAACCAGCAACAATTCTTCATGGTGCTCTTTCTGACAAATGCTGTTGCCTCCCTCTTCCTTTTTCTCAGAGCTCGTGTGATTAGCCTGGGCCCACTTAGACAATCCAGGATAAATAACCTCCCTTCTTTAAAACCAGCTGATCAGAAACCTTTGATTTATCTCCAGCTTTAATTCCCTTTGTCACACAATGTAACACACTCATGTGTTCTGGAGATTAGGATGCAGATGCCATTTGGGAGCCAGTATTCTCCCTATCATAGTCTATCCCTAAAGTTTCACGTCTATACCATGCACAAAATGCTTTCGACCATTCCAGACTCCATAAAGATCTCACCTCAATATATCATCAAAGTGCAATATCTAAATCTCAGAGTCCTAAACTTCACTGTGTAAAGCAAATGTAGATGAGGCTCCAGACGTCATCCACCCAGACACAGTGTTTCTCCAGGTATGGTCTGTGAAACTTAGAAACAAGGTACTGTTTCCCAAAATACAATGGAGGGACAGACCTTTAATAACAGTTATAGACACTGGGATTTAAAAAGGAGAAAATAAGAGATAGAAAGGAGTTACCCATCCTAAGCCATTTTTGAAACCCAGCTGGTTAAATTTATGTGGTTTCAAGGCCTGACAATAACCATCTGCAGCTCACACCTCTGCCCTCTGGCTTTAATTTCCCTCTCTCCTGGCTCCTGGTTCTGCCCTCTGGAATCACTCTTCCACTTCATGGTTCCCGGCTCCACCTTTTGGGTTATCCTTCTTTTTTCCAGTTGGTAGACATTTTAAGCTGAGTAGTTTTGTCAGGCTGTTTCCTATATCTAGACATTTGGTGATCTGACAGCCTTTTTTCATTGCATACTTTGTGTCCTTTTTGAGACACTTGGCAGTGTTTCTCTGAGTACACAATTTTTCAAGGACCTCATGAGTCTCCCGTGTATGCCATGTGGATTCACTCCAGGAGACATCAGATTTATCCTCAGACCTTTACTAGACAATCCCATCTCTATTTCCTGCTCTTGTTGAAATGGCTGAGGTGATAGGATATGAAGTCA